TCGGAAATAGCACGATAATTACATAACCTTTTGTTAGTTTTTGTTAGAGAAGATTCTCTATCCTTCAGAACATTGTCGCACTGGGCACGCGACAATACTTTTCAATTTCAATAACTCACAAATATTTTATCAACATTTTATTCAATTTTTTGAATTAGATAAAATAATATAAATTTGAATATTCCAAGCAATAACAGTTGGATTTCCTATATCTTATTCAATATTATAATAAAAAAATTTAAAATTTGTTAAGATGTTAAATATAAAGAATTAATTAAAATATACAAATGGTTGGATATATCAATTCAAATCAAGAAATGGATTACTAAAATTTAACTTTTCAGAAGAAGTTAATAATACACCACTTTAAACTTTATCAGAAGAATGTTCAAAATTACAAATGGCTTTAGCTGAATATAATTATGATGATATTTATAATGTTGATGAAACAGGACTTTTTTTCAAATGGAATTTAATCAAATACTCAATACAGAAGTAATTGCAAATCAAAAAAAAAGTAAAAATATTAAAATTATTTTTTTTAAAATTTATTTTATTATAATTTAATTAATAATTTTACTATGTCACCTGAACTAATATTATTTGTACATTATATAACTAATTTAAAAATTTATTTTATTATAACTTTATAGAATAAAAGTAGAGTATCTATTTTTTTTTGCATCAATACCTTAGGCTCCCATAAATTTAAACCACTTGTAATTGGAAAATTACTTAATCTTTGCTGTTTTAAAAATCTTAACAGATCATCTTTTCCAATTATTTATTGTGCTAATTCTAAATTATGAATATGTACAGATATATTTGTTGAGTGACTTAATTATTTTCATACAATAAATAGAAAAATTGTACTTCTTATTGATAATACAGGTTCTCATTTTAATACAAAAAGATTACAAAAAGTGTATTTTGATAATTCTAGTAAAGATGAATTTGATAATGAACAAGAATCAAGTCAGAATTTTAACAAGAATAAAAGAGTAATGCAAAATAATTCAAAAAAAATACCAAAGCTTTCCAATATTAAACTTATTTTCTACCTAATACAATAGCTCATCTACAACCTATAGATGCAGGAATTATTCATGGTTTTAAAGCAAAATATAAACAAGAATTTTGTAAACATTTGATTTGACAATTTGATTCTGGAATAGATTATATAAAGTGAGTTTATTTATTAATTTTTTTTTGATTTTATTATTGATAATTTTTTTAATTATTATACTAACTTGAGTTAATTATAGTTTTTACATTATTAATTTAATTTTAATTTTATAAATTAAATATTAAAGAAATTATTGACTATATAATCACATCAGGAAATTTTTAAGGGCAAATATATGTGAATTTATTTGCATTAGTAAAAATGGATTATATCCAAATATATTCATAAATTTATCTGAATATATTTAGCATAACATATGAATTAATGTGAATTAATATGGATTAATGCATATTAATGTGATTTATGTGGATAAATGCATAAGTGGTCAAATATATTCAGATATATTTCCTTCAAAAATTTCCTGATGCATTTGAAACTGTTGAATCAAAACTGGTATACTTTCTACTTTAAACAATATTGAAATAGAATTAAATAATGATGAAGAAACTCATTATGAAGAAACTGATGAAAAAGTTATAGATCTTATTAATAATTTACCTGAAAAAGATTGTGTACAAAGGTATTTTCAATTTATTGATTTTGATATTTCCACTGAAGAGAATCTCACTGAAGAACAAGTTATGTTTTTTATATAGTTTTGTTTTTCATGACAAATTGTTAATTTGATACAATCTGAAGAAAATGAAGAAAGTGAGAGTGATAGTGATGATGATGAAATACTTCCAGTATCAGTTAAAGGTGCAATTAGTGGGTTAGAAATTTTATTGAATATTTTGAACAACAAAATGATAATTCTGAATTTAATATAAATGATTTAGAAAATATTTACAAAATTCTAGAGTAATTCAAAAAAAAACAAAAATCTCTTGATACATTTATTGATATTTAATTTGTAATATAATAATTTTACCACTTATTAGTTTATTTTAAATAATAATATAATCTTTTTTTATTACATTTTAATAAATAATTGAAATATTTTTTCTACAATATTTGATTTTTTATAATCACACCTTTAGATGGTCCCGAAGGGTGTGGTTATAGAGGGGGTCCACTGTACATAGAATGTCAAAGTTCTAATTAATGGATAATTAAGTTATTTTATTATTTGAATATTATTGAATCTTATTAATTTTATATTCCGTACTTCTATTCTACTATGAACAGCTTTGAATACTTGCGTCAAACGTCACGATTTGGTTTATCGGAATATTTCATCATATGTTTATTATTATAATTAACAATTATTATTCTGAATGAAGACATTTATTATAATTTGTAAACCTACAAATATAAACGGATCTGCTTTCTTGATCACTCAATTATAGCTGAGCTATAAATTGAAATAAAAAATAGGTTTACTTTAGTGTAATAAATCTTTCCAAAGACAAATTGCAAATACAATAAAATATAATAAATATTATTATACATACGTCAATACTTCATTGCAAATACTTTTTTATCATATCTTATTATGTCGTCAATGGTAGAAATAACAACTGGTTAAAATAAAATAATCCAAGTTTACCTACTATTATTAAAAAAAAAAATATTATAAATATTTTTGAAAATTAATTATTGCATATAACAATAATAAATTTAAGAAATTTAAAATATCTTCATAGTCTTCAAGCTCATTTAACTTTCATTATTGTAGATACCAAAAGCGGGGGATAGATTTAGGTAATTTCGGTAGTTTCGTTGGTTTCTTTATTAGACGAAGGAGACGACATGGTTGGAAAGTCAAAGATAATAATAGAAAAGATGAGCTTAGTTGTATTATAAACAACGAGGAGAAAAGGTACGGAGTGAAAAGTAATATAGATAGTAAAAGCGATGTAAACAAGTTCATGTAGGTTCTAAATTTTATTTTTATTTTTTCTATCAAAAGTACATTAATGAATATTAATGGATACCAAAGATAACGAATAGTCTATTAAAGAAGAAACATTTTATTTTCAATATTATAAGCATTAACCTTTTATTATTAGAAATAAATTTAAAGATATCATTTGATCAAACTAAAAATAATTTAAATTTATCCTTGAATATAATATTAGTATTATTTAAAATGTTTGAATCGCTCTAGTGATATACAGTATAATAAATTATTTATTAATTTAACCTTTACTCGATCTATTTGTTCTAATAATATTTCTTTTGCTTATTAATAAAGCAGAATGATAAATATATCAAAAAAAAAGAGAACATAATGGTAAACCAAATAATATCTAGCAACAGAAATTGATAAATTACATATAATAAATAAAAAGATAATCAACTATGAACTAAAACAAAGAAAGTCAAATGATTAACTAAAAGCAAAATTAAGTAATAAACAATAAAAATCAAACAATAAAAATGAAGGAACATTTGACATATTGGGTATTCAAATAAAGAATAGCTCCGTAACACAAATAATAATGATAACTTTATTTTGGGTTTGAATGAATAGTAAAAAACAACGATGTACGTGTTTTGTTTACTTTTCAAAACAAAATGAGTCTTTCAATTCATTCATAGACGATAAATCCGATATATTCAATGATTTGATAAATAGTGAAATAGTAAAAATCATGATCGAATCATTTTATTTAGATAGAAAGATAAAAACACCTCTCGAATTATAAATAGAATTGAAAAATTATTATTCTAACTATCCTTAAATCAAATTATGAACAATTCTATATCTAAGGTCACATTTCGAAGCGATTATGGTTCGATATATAATGGTTCGACATGTAAAGGTTCGTCCTATGATGGATAATGCTTTTATAAAAAATATCTTTATAAAATATCTTATAAAATATCTTTATAATATAATAATAAATTAAATGTAGATCCGAATGAACTGAAGTCTAAAGGATCAAATTGGACTGCATACATGAATATTGTGTAAGTCGATAAAAATCATTTGATAAATATAAAAAATTTGAAAAATTTTTGACATCAATTATTATCTAGTTGTGTGTTAGCTGGATCAGGAACACTCGGAATTCCTTACGCCATTCAACTTGGAGGATGGATATCTATTCCGATTTTAATCCTTTCAGCAATAATGACATATTATGCCAACATTAAATTGATTGAATGTTTATATTATGATGGGTATGCAAAATTTTATAATAAAGTGATAACGTAATTTCATTAACTTCAACTTAGATTATCCAAAACATTTATACAACTAGTACTCGCAAAACCTCAATGTCCGATTTAGCATATGAAGCGTATGGAAATGTGGGATTTCTTATTATTGGATTTTTCTTTAATGCACTATGCATTGGATGCCCAATTTTATTTCTTATTCTTGCTGGACATAGTCTCCAAGAATTGTTCATCAACGTCGGAATTGATCTGGGAATACGAACTTGGGTTTATATTTGCGCTAGTATTATGTGTATACCGTTTATTTTACTAAGATCAATGAAAGAGGCCGCATTCTTAAGGTAAAACTATTATTTTATTATTTATTACTATTTTTTTAACTTAAAATTCAAATTTATTTATGTTATTTTTAGTGTCGTAGGAACTATAACTACAGCATTCGTTATAATAGTCATATCTGTAACGTCCGTCGTCGAATATCCTAATAATCGAGATAAGCAACACGAATTTATTAATTTCCGAAATATACCTTTGTCTATGGCAACATTTTCCTTTAGTTATGGTGGGAATTTTATTTTTCCTCAAGTTGAAGCTAGGTAGAAAACGTTCATTATAAAATATTGTTATCGATTCATTTATAATATATTAAATAATTAACCTTGCTTGTCATTTGATAGTTTGAAAGAACCAAATGCATGGACCGAAATTTTGAGATTCGCCATCTTTTCTGTAACAATTATGTACTTAATAATTGGAATTCCCGCTTATTTAACTTATGGCGAAACTCTTCGATCACCTGTATATATCGGTCTTCAGCCCGGATTTCCTATTACCATTTCCATAATAATGATTACAATACACATTCTCTTAGCGTTACCAGTTTATCTAACGGTATTTTCAGTAGAAATTGAGAATTATCTTGGTTTCGACACGAAAAATTTGAGTAAAATTCGGCAACATATTTTACGTATTTTATTACGTATAATTATTATGATATTTACAGTATATATTGCAGTGAATGTACCATACTTTTCAGATTTAATGCAATTATTCGGTGCAACTGGAAATGGAGTGTTATCAGTTATTGCGCCAATTCTTTTTTGGATTAAATTAATTGGATGGAAAGAATTAAATGGATTCAAGGATAAATGTTGGGTAATTTTTATGCTGACGTTTTCTACGTGCGTAACTGTTATTGGAACGATCGATGCTCTAAATATTCTTTGGATTGATATTACTGAAAAATCATGAAGAACGAACATTCTCATATTGTCAATTTGTTCAATATAAAATTTTTATTATCAAAATCCGAAAATTTAAAATTTTCTTCGTAGATTTATTCTTTTAACACAATTTCTAATAAGTCATTAATAAAATGGCGGAAGTAATTTATCTTTATTATCTTTTAGGTAGCATTCAAACGAATAATATATTATCTCGTGTGGCAAACTTTTTTTTATTAACCATTTCCTAGTCTAAAATTCACAAAAATCAAAATTATAAAGTTATCGAATGTCACAAAACTTGACAAAAAAAAAAAAAGCAGTTTTTTGTATTTAAAAATGATTTTATTGTAATTATAGTGATATGTACAATATAAAAAAATAAATGTAATAAATTATTAAATTAAATCTTGCATATTTCCCAAGTCAAATTCCATCCAACATTCAATTTAATTTTTAATCCTTCTAAAGTTAACTTTCTTGTATTATCATCAAATTTCAATATGATACTTTCATTCCCATAATTGTTTAAACCAATTGAAACATCATTTAATTTTAAATTTTTAATTTTGACTTGATCAGAACTTTGACATTTAAGTCCTAATATAACTATTTTATCCAATATAACGCCATTATCATATTTGTCCCATTTAACATTCGCGATTAATACATTCCAATTATATGCTTCATAAATAATATAAGTATATTTAACTTCAACATTCAAACTTTCTCCGTCATCCAAATATAAATTTCCTTTTGCTTTTCCATCCAAATCAAAAGCCACGAGGATATGATAATTGCTATTGCGACTCTCAGTAGTTGTCATTTTAGGTTGTGTCATTGGAATGATACTTCCTCCTCTTATATGTATTGGCATTTCGTGTAATGGTGCATTCAAATCTTGATGAATTCCTTCAGGATCTCGTACTTCGTAACTTACAGTTTGCCTATAAAAATCATACCAAATTCCGGGTGGAATGTATGCTGAGTAAACTACAGTATGATTTTGTTGTAACACGGGAGAAACCAAGATACCGTCACCAAGCATAAATTGTCTATCAGCAATTAATGCGGACCTTAGATGCGGATATTCAATGAAGAGAGGACGAAGCACTAGGGATCCATTTACGTGCGCTTTATAGAAAAGGGTGTAGTAATAAGGAAGTAATGAATATCTAATTCCAATATATTTACGTGATGTTTTGGCAACTGAGGGCCAATTATAAGGTTCCTGAGGCTCTTCTTGCAAAGAATTATGATTTCTTTATAAAAAAAAAGAAAAAAAAATCAAAATTAAAAATAATTAAAAAATTTTATAAATTGGAAAATATTTACCGCATGAATGGATAAAAAGATCCAAGTTGCATCCAACGCAAACATAATTCTTCAGTGGCCATTCCATTGAATCCACAGATATCAGCACCAGTTAAAGGAATTCCAAATAACTAAACAAATAAAATTAAATAAAATCAAATAATGAATTGTAGTAAACAAAAAATAAAATAAGAACTTAAATAATTAATGCAACAAGAATGTAAGGAATCTCACCTGAAAATTTAATATGCCCGGTATTGACAAATATAAATCTGACCACTAAAAATAATGATGATGAGAAATGGAATTCTAATCAGACAGAAAGAAATTACAAATAATATTCATCAACTAACCTTTGACCAATTATCACCTATAATCCAAAAATGTGATAATAAAATGGGTTAAAGAAATATTAACTTCGATTGCCTTTTTTAGTGACTTTAAATAAATACCTGTCCAATGTCCCGCATATTTTCCTGTTCCAGAAAAGGTTGATCTCGTAATAAGAAAAGGTCGCTTTCCTTTCCTAATTTTTTCTTCCCAAATTTTATATGTTACCTTCGATTCCATGTGACCGTATAAATTGTGTACATCGTACTCAACTGCTCCATTTGAATGAACAGCGTCCATAGATAATGTAAGTTCATTCAATGACATTCTATTACCACCATTGTTGATTCTATAAGGTGGATTATTCAGATTACGAATTGTTTTAGTGTTGGGAGTTGAAGAAACAGAAACGATTTCAGGATTTATTTTTTCCCGGATTTCCTTGAAATTTGGTAACTTTTGAAAGTCAAAATTGGTGCATTCTCCTTTACACCAACTTGCTGGTTCATTCATATCAAGCCACAACCTGTTAAACCAAAAATTTTCATAATATAAATTATAAAGTAAATGAAGCAAATAAATAACAAAATGTGTTTTATCCTTACCCATCAAGATGAATTTCATCTAACCATTCTTTGATCATATTTTCCCAATAAGTAGTCGTATTCTCATTGAACCAGTCAGGAAATGTTGTAAACCCTGCAACAAAATTAGTGGACTTTCTCCATTACAAGATTAATGAAAATAAATAACTTTAACAGTTTCAAATTCATACCAGGCCAAACTAGCCCCATAATATTTTTTCCTTTTATATTCTTAACAAAGACATTTTTTGATAACCCTTCATCATGTGGTATGTACCCAGGCTCAATTTTAATTCCTGGATCAACAATAACAACATAATGTTGATTATTTTCATGCAATTTTTTAATGAATAGACTAACTTCATTCTTTGGATAATTGCGAGGGTTCCAAGTAAAATCTTTAAACCCCTCCATGTAGTCTAAATCTGTCCATATTGTTTCCAACGGAATATGGTGATAACGAAACATTTCTACAACGTTAGAAAGTACAGTCAGCTATATATATATATATATATAAAATCAAAATTCAATTGGGTTAATTAACAAAGGAATGCAAAAGAATCAATTTCGTAATATAAGAACAAAATAATAATATATATACATTGTTATAACCCCAACGACATTGATGATAACCTAGAGCCCAATATGGTGGAAGTGCTGGTCTTCCAACCGCCTTATATAAATTATATAAAGCGTAAATTATGACAAAATATTTTAGCATAGGTGAACTATAAAGAACCATTAAAGAACCGTAAATAACCATAAATAACCATAATAATCTACAATTCAAAATTAAACTGACTTTTGTATATTGAGCAACCACATCAGAAGGCGTTGGTCCAAGAAAGAAATAAAAATCAAATATTCCACCAATTACTATAAAATAAAATCACATCACATAATTATTATATATAATCAATTTTTAAAATAATTATGAATGACAAAATCTTTCATACAATACCTTTCCAATTTAATTTAGCCGGATTCCCGGGAACGATCGATACATCCATGCCATTTGAATTCCTTAAAAACTAGTATAATAATGTAAATTTAATTTTGAGATCACTGAACAAAGTTCATATAAAATTCGTATAATAACGAATACTTACCACACCATGAGTAGAACCATTTCTTATTTCCATATAAAATGGTTGAACACCATAAACTAATTAGGGATTTAATGAATTAAGTAAAATTTTCACTTTATATAAAAAAAAAAAAAGATAACCAATAACAAAATTCTTACCATTTTCTGAAAATGGTGTTGCCGCATCTCTGCTCTGTTATGCGATAAAAAAAAAATTAAAGGTAAAAAAGAAATAGCAAACAAAGGGTAACAAGAATTTTTACTTTATATAAAATAAACTTGCCCAAAGAGTTTGGAACGTTCCCTTTGGATTTCTTCTAAGTGTTTGAACTATTTCACCGAGACCGTATATAAAAGGATCATTGGGTAACTAATATTAAGTCCATAAGTTGATAATAAAAAAAAAACAACAAAAAAATAACATATTTGAATCTAGAGATTTATTAATAACCTCAAATGTAATCTCCATATATTGTTCTTCAAATACAAGAGAATCCATTCCTAAGACTTTTGTATTTATTATTTGTTCTCCTGTTGATGCACGTGTTATAGAAAATGTGAATGGATTATCGCTATAAGAAAAGTGATATAGAGGTTCACTTTTCATTGTTTCAGATTGCGGAATCGGTACGACATCTTCGGGTATTTCGTATCTTGAATTCGCAGGGTCAAAAACCTTTACGCGTAAACGATCAATTGTTTGATACTAAAAAAAAAAAGTATTAATATTATTTTATCAGTAAAATGTATTTATGGAAGAATTTTTATACAATAAATAATTTTTATTACCTCAACCAAAAGCTTTAAAAATTCTGGATCAAGCCCATAATTATTACAACCTTCGCCTATCAACTCTAGATCAATAATTAATCGTCTATCGGATTTTTGTGATTTAATTACTTTATATCCATCACAAGGCTTTTTCCTGAAGTAACAATATTTCGATCCTATGACATCTTTTCTTGGGTCCCAGCAACAATTCAATGCGTTTACGCATTCTTTTTTCGTAATACCCAAATAACCACAATCTACTCTAGTCGCTGGATCAACACTACACGTATATTCTTTTCCTTTTTTATAAAAACACCATTTTGCTTTTGGATCTGTTGAAGGTCTCCAGCAACAACCTCTGTATTCACATTGTTCTTTGGTAATTCCTAAATATCCGCAATCATTCGAAGAATTAGAAAAGGAACAAATATCGTTATCGTTAAATATGTTTATATTTATAGAATCATTTGATAATGATTCGTGAGAAGTTTTTAGACGTAACCATGAGTTTAGAAAAGAAAGTAATATAAAAAATATAGGAAAAAATACAAGTGAAAACATTTCAGTCAAAAATTGTGCAATGTCAGTCTTTTAAAGTATTATTTATTATTTGTGTTACTTGGAAAAGTTGAATTAAGAAAAGTCCATCTTTTTCTTTAAATCTTTTAACTTCAATTACATTTTTTTTTTTAAAAAAATAATTAAGAACGCGAAAATCGTCATAAATAAAAAATTCTCTTAACCAAACAAATTTCTATAAAATTTTTTAACAGAAATTCTTTAAGTAATTCTTTTAACATCACGGAATTCAACACCATCAACCGAAATCAGACCTCAAATGTCGTCGAATGTCGAATGAAGAAAACCTTGTTTGTTTGTTTGTTAGAGTGTCACAAAGAATGCCAATGCTGGGCAAAATAATCTTACATGAGATTCTAAAAGAAAAATTTGTAATAAACCATTTAAAGACAAAGAACATGAGAATTTTGAATTAGTCATCTTTAATGGGTAAGGTATAATAATTATTTTTTAATTCATATGTTAATGATCTTCAAATAATCTATTAAAGTTTAACTATAAAAAACATCTTGGTTGTTCGTGATTTACTAAAGATAGAATAAAAAAAAAAGTAAATTATAAAATCGGATGACAAGAGCCGTCACTGTTGGGAATCGAGTCCGATTAAATATGTATAGTGATTACTTGCATGCATTTAGAGGAATGCTAAAATTAGAACTTTTCATAAGAACTGAATTTATGAAATTGGAAAACTGATGAATAAAATAGTTTATTCCGACTTAATCTTACATCTTTGTTTATTGTTTATAATTGTTAAATACGGTAATCTTTACTAATTGTTTGAATAGCCAAACACCATTATCCTCACGAGACTTACACAAACACCAGCCATATCATTTATTTCATTTGTAAATGAGATTTTTTTTTTTACACAAACACCAGCCTATCATGAGACTTACACAAATACCAGCCACACGCCACATTATTATTCAATGAAGAGTCGCATAAACCAGCCTGTGGCTGAAAGACCCCGGAATAATAGGTTTTCGTGCTTCGGTAGTAAATTTTAGAAAATTAAAGTTTCATATAAAAATAAACATAGAATTCTGTTTTGTTATGTATATTTGGCCTATATTATTTTTAGATTGACTCATTTTAATTAACTTTTATAAATGTAAATATTAAAAAAAAAAAATTGGTTCTTTCATGAGATTATTTATTAAATTATAATCAATGTTTCCTTGCCTCCTAAAATAATCTTCTTTGAAAATTAAGAAAACAAAGAAAAATAAACATAAACACAATTAAACATAACACAATTAAACATAACACAATTAAAAACTACACAATTAAAAACTACACAATTAAACACAACACAATTAAACATGTTTAAACACACAATTAACTTGATTTAGCTTTAACTTCCAAATAAAATGTTTCAGACATATAAATCATAAATGATTTAGAATTTACCAATGACCATTATAGACTTCATTTGTCATTTTAGAATGATTTTTTAAAATTATATACGCGCGTAAATAAATTACTTAGTTCCAATTTGTATCAATGTACCATTATTTATATGAAATTGGTTTACAAATTATTTTTATTTTTAAATAATTTCTAATATTTGGAAGTTTATGAGTCGCGTTCATTGCTAAAATTATTTATCACGTATACAAATACGCGATATATACCATTCATATTAATGTCGTACTCCTATTTAACATTAAAGCACATGTTGAATTGGGGAATTCGCGATATCATAATATGATATCAAATAATTTAATTTTTAATTTATACTTTAATTGGTCATCGTCGCGGCCAGTAAAGTTCACTTGAAACAACTGATATATATACACATGTTAAATTTATTAAATTTTGAAAAAATTTATTAAATTTTGAAAAAATCACGCGAAATATTTTTTTATATTTTATTATTTATCATTTGGTATTACTGAATTATTGTGTTAAAAATTTTTAAATTTCTATTTTTTTTTTTTTTCTATTTTTTTTTTCTCGCGTTAATGTTATAGTACCGAGTTTCGAAATAATAATGCATACTTTTATTCTTTATACTTATTTTAACATTTTTTTATTTCTTCAAAAAAAAAGAAAAAACTTTTGAATTCCCGAATTGGTTAAATAATTCTTGTAAATAAGTTAAATTATGCAAAATAATTTTTCTAAATACATGATAAAATTCAAAGAAAAATTACGTGCATAATTATGGTTCGATATTTTAAAATTTATTAATTAAGGATTATTAAGGATTATATTTGTAATAATAAAAAAATTGATCGTATAAAGTGTGATTCCAAAACAATCTAAAATCTTTTACCAAATTAAAGGAGAGAATATTTTATTGGATTAATGAATTTTTTTCATTCTACGAGATTCATCATTCAAAGCATTCCGAATATTCTGTAAAATATGTATAAAAAAAAAATAAAACTATTTATAGTTGTCACGGTAATTTTAACAAAATTGAGCGATGAAATGCATTTATTTTTATCAAAATAGTCATCAAGCAAAAAAATTTATAATTGTTTGGGTTTGTATTATCATTATGAATAAACAACCTAAAATAAACTTAAAATTTCTCGGCATTATTTCGACATACCCAAACTCCGATTAAATTTAATTTAGAAAAAAATTCTTTTGTATTGAAGAATGAAGAATATGAGATGAATTGAAATTCTAAATTTTGGACATCACATTCGTTACTTTGACATTGACTAGGAAGAAAATTTTGTTTTTAAAAAGAAAGATATAAGATATTTAGTAAGCTAGATTTTTTAAATTAGTAAATATTTATTTACACAATAAACATAAATGTGATATCTCCCAAAAACTGGTAAATCACTTCATTTCCTGGTTACAGGATATGAATACAAATAAATTATTACATTATAATTAATAAAATATTTATTTTATGTATATATAATTTATTTTTTTTTTCTATTACAAATAAAAAAAGCAATTTGTACGTGTCACATGAAAACTTCTAGAATCTTATAAAACGAACGTGTTGTTGACTCTTTAACTCACAAACCACCACAAATGCATTCCAGTTTTTTCGACCAATATATTAATCCTTTAGAATTATATGAAGAGTTTGTTATGGAACAGATGTCACAATTCGATTTCCCTAGTATTATTAGTTCTCCTGAATCTAGTAATATAACGTCTGTAGAAACGACACCAGTTATATCGCAAGACCCCCCCCCCCTCCTTCTATGTTAATAAGGCCAACTTACCCACCGCAAATTACTGTCGATGAATTAGTCACTTCTAAACCAAATGGTGATAAACCGTCTAAATCCAGTAACGCATTCATTATTTATCGTAAGGCATATGTTAAAGAACTTCATTCAAGAGGAATTAGTCTTCAAATGACTCAAATCTCACCAATGGTTTCAGAATCTTGGAAACAAGAACCAGTAAACGTTAAAGCTGAATATAAGCGTCTAGCTGAAGCTGCGAAAAAAAAATATAAAGAAATGTGGCCATCAAAGCCACGACGTCGACATCAAAAAAAACAACAACCACCAATTTCACAAACTCTTTTATTACAAACTGTTTCAAAACCACCTCAAATTAATAATAATAATAATAATAATAACAACAACAACAACAACAACAACAACAATAATAATAATAATAATAGTAATAATAATAGTAATAATATCAATATAACACAGAGTCCCTCTACTCAATTTAATTCACAATCATATTTGAATCTCTCAAATACATACTTTACATATTTGCCAATACAAAATAATCCAGAGCCTTCTAATCCATCATCTTTAATTAATCCATTTTATATTGAATTGGATACAAACAATTCCCTTTCGAGTAGAAGCAATCAAAATGACATATTTTCATCATCATCATCTTCTTCTAACAGTAATAATAATCCTTTAGACATTAATGAAATTAATGATAATCGACCTGCAATATCTTTGACAGAAGAAAATGATAACAATTCTGTGCTAACTTACTTAATAAATCAACGTTCGACCGGATCTCAACGGGGAAGCATGCCTGAACCGACTGATCGAAAAGGTTCATTGTTAGCGTATCATCAACTTATGGCAACATGGCATAAAGAATTAAAACGTCATGATTCCAATCCTTATCGTACTTTCAATGATGCAATGAAAGTTTCTTTCTTCACCTTACATTTAGTCTAAAGTAATAATAGGGTTCATTTCTTTTGATATCGATTTTTATTTTATATACATATACATATTTATAATTATATTTCAGATTATAAATATCAAGTTTCTCTTATAAATATTTTTGGTTCGGGAAATATAATTTATTCTTTCGTTAACGATTTACTTTCCGACCAACAAAATTTCTAAAATTTTTTTTAAAAAAAAAAAAAAAATATCGATCCAACGACGATTCGTAATTCTAAAAATTTACTTAATTTTTTTTTTATAAAACTGTATAAAGACAAATCGTAAGACTATAATTTTTTTATACTATTATATATTGTACACACGAAAACAACTAGAAAAAATGTATAGAAAATCTTTTTATGCTATAAAATTACAAATTCCTTTTCAATATATAAAAAAATGTTCAAAGTTTAATATTTCAAATAATGCGTTGTATTAAAGGATTGTTAAAAAAATACATATAATATTGCAGGAAATGTATGAAATCAAAATTACATATTTGCTTAGTATTTTGTTTTTTTCTTTTGCGGATTAATTGGATTAATTGGATTATCGGATTTATTGGGTTTATGTGATAAAAATTAATTGGTATTATTAATTGGTATTAACTGATATTATTTTTTATTTATATTATTATTAATTTACATTATGACTAAAGGGTTTAAAGGTGGAATTCGTTATTATGAATATTTACACAGTTTATATTATGCATTTTTTATGTAGATATGAAACAATTATAAAATATAATATATAAGATTACTTTAAGATTTTTCTTTCTATGAAATAATTAAAAACTTATGTTATTTTTCCTTTATCTGTTTGCTTTATTTTATTTCTACTTTATCTATTCACTTATATTTTATTTTATTCCAATCAAAAAATAATAAAAAAATTGATGAACTTATTTTGGCTACAAAACAACAAATTACAAATCTTGAGAAAAAATAAAAAGAATTACTCTTCACTAAGCTGCGGATTTTTCCTGTTCATCTGGCGTTTTTCCTAATTTTAAAAAAGATTACTAACTTTGTTTGAACAAAAATATTCTTTACATAATAATAATTATTAAAAGAAAATAAACAAACAAATTAAATTACCTCGTGAAACATTTATGAATACTTAAATTACTAATTTTAAAACCATTTATATTGTATTTGATAAACGTATATGCATAAAAAATAAAAATTCAAGATTCTAGACCCTTGGCAGTTTTTTTTTTTTTAAATATGTATTGACCGCAGTAATTATAAATTAATTAAAAAAAAATTTTTAAGGAATTTACATTAATTAATCACTAAAGATGGATTTCACTAAAAGCTTTACCATAAAGGATAGCGTTTACTAATACTGTATTCAGTATTCTATTTCCATCACACAAAGTTACAAAGTCATAACAATATAAATAATTTAAATAATCTAAATAATATCATCTATCTGGTGACTTCTTTACAACAATGACGATTACATTTATATTTTTATATTTACTAAAAAAAGACTTTTCACAACTCGCACGTGCTTACAATTCATAGTTTACATTTAACATTGACCAAATTATATTATTTATTCCCGAATTTGCTTTTTTCCTTCAATCTTTGTTTTTGTAAAATTTTCTTTATTTATAATAATTTGCATTATTCAATATTTTTGGTTACTACATTTATTTGCATCAATAAAAATTTTCAGTATCATTAAAAATTGTTTGCATGAATAAAATTAAATTAAAAAAATAAATAACAAAAATTGGAAAAGGCAAGAATACTAACATTAAGATTACAACTTCGTAAAATATCAAAAAGTAATTGAATTGAAAATCTTTTAATAAATTTCCTGAAAATGACTAGTAAAATAATTCATCACGTTTATAATTTGATTATTTCTTTTATTCTTGTTGAGGAAATTAATAATAATTCATTTTTTGTTATAATTATACTAATGCATTTTATATTTATCAAGATTATTACGTAATTGAATGATTTTTTACTTCGAGAGGTTTTTCGTACTAAAACTATAAATTTCTTTGTTGAAACATAATGTACGAATATTGAATTATCACAATTCTCTCTCTCAAACTTATTCTCTCAAATCATTTTCAAATTTCGAATAACAAGGAAGTCTAATTAAATATTTTTGGAAAATTTTGAATGGAATTTGAGAATGCATCTTTTTTTTCACTTAAAAAGGTTATGAGGGTTATTATGTTTAAGACTAAAGGCTGGACTGCAATTTCCGAGCATAAAAACAATGAAATTATATACAATATGTGATAATGTTGAATATATGGGATAATAAATAAAATTTCGGATTTGCCAAATTAATTAATAAAGATCTACACCAATAAATTAATTAAATTTGGTTATTGCATTTATGAATTTATGCTAATCGGGAAATCCGATTAATAAGCAAAAAAGTTAAGTCACAATGCACTCTTAATCACAATGATATAATATCCCTTTAAATGATGCCTAAATTACTCAACGACGTCCGCGTAGTAAAATTTTCACACAGAAAAGACATATCCGAATAAATGAATAATCTAATTGAAGTTAAATTCGAATTAATCTTATCAATCATTTTTGATGATTTCTAATATTATCTTTATTTCTTTTTCCCCTAATGTCAAAGAATGCATATAATATAATTCCAAAATTGCAATACTCATTGTATTCTCCTTAATTTTATGTAATTATTTCGTGCATAGTATCTTTACCTTATCATTTATTCTGCCAATAATTGGGGAAAAATATTTTTGAAAATTCTTTATTATTTTTTTTAATTCTTTATAAGGATTAATTATCACTATGATACAATATTTTATAACTAATAATGGTTAATAATAAAATGTATTGTTCATATGCAGAAAATAGAATACCCAATAATTTACGTGATCATAACACGAATTATATATTTATTCGGTATTTGAATCTATATTAAATTTTTATATTAAATCTATATTATTGCATAAAGATTTATCAAATGGAATTTCCCCGAACAATTGTGTAAACCACTCGGATTTTTTGAAAGAGAAAAATTATTTGATTTATTATTGGTTATTTATTGTTAAATTTATTGGATTTAAATTTTATATTTATTATTATTTAATGATACACAGTACACGTTTGTTCTCATCACACTTTATTTAAAATTAAAAAGTGTGATTTGTGATTTTAACAAGAAAATTTATTAATTAAATTATGTTTACAGGTAAATTCCATTTTAAAACAATATACAGGTGCAATTAGAATTAGACTGTGCTCATCTTCTACATTTATAAATGATAATTGAAAAATATAACCATTATTTGTTATTATCTTTTAAGAGATTATATAAATTAAACGAACAAATTTATTTTGATAGGAAAATATAATTATTAATTCCATATAAATAATTGAAACATAAATTCTATTTCAAGGATTGGCGTGATTTTTATTATTATTTAAAAACCTCGATAATATAAATCTTTAATTATTAGGTTAGAACATCACCTTCAACTTTTTTCATGTGCTATATTTGTTACACGTGTCGCATGTTATTAAATTTTGCATATCACAATACCACAATATCACAATATCACAATATCAATATCATAGGCTGTGTCCACCATGTAGAAAACTTTATAAGAAATTACATTGTATGACGATCAATAATGGAACAATGAATAATGCTATATATATGAACCATTAACCGAGTCCTTGGTTTGGGTTAAAATTGCTGGATTGTTCTGTTTTCTTGGCGGTAATACATCAACGGCTATTCTTCTAATGGTAATATTTGAAAATTTAAATATTTTCTTGGTTTTAAATTTTTTTTTTTTTTTTTTTTTTTTTTAAAAAAAAATCATTGCTTTAATGATAAAAATAATAAAAATGAAAGTAATAATAATCCCTATAGAAAAATTATGATCAGTTCTATTATTAGAAAAGATTGCAATGGAATTTTAATCTTAATTTAGCCTTGACTTGAATAAACTTGATTATAACTTGAACCTCGTTTTTTAACAGGTAATCAAAAGAACACCGATTGTGATATGTAATGAAATGATAAAATAATAGTTGAGAAATTTCTTTTGTAAAACAAAAGAACAACTAAAAGTAAAATTTTCATTTCTGTAAATTTTATTCTCATTTGGTTAGATTATTCATCATATAATTCATATTATTCGATATATAATTTATTTGTTTTCTTTGTTACAAGAATTACACGAGCGGATGAACTCAAAATGTCCATAAAGGATATATAAATAATTGTGTGGATATATAAAGAATTGTGTATATATTGTTTTTATTATTATACTTTAATATAAACACAACACGCGTAAATTGATTCCAAAATAAACAAAATAGAAATGCATATTATCTGTATTAAATATAAAATAGATACTTATTTAAACTGGGATGTCGCGTACATAATTAAAAAATATATATATTTCATAGTAAACAACTCTTTAGTTGATAACAAAATTGTATAACAAAAACATTTTTTGCAAGAAAAATTGCGCAATATTAAGAATAAAAGAACGCAATTCTAGATAAAAGAATGCAATTCTAGATATAGAATATAGAATAATCATGCGGTACTCATAAACAGTTTCAGTTTTAAAAGAAATTTCTCATGCATTTTAATCTAGTTGTATTCGCTATTAAATTTCTCAGTTCAGTAACACGCGTGTAAATTAAAAAAAAAAAAAAAAAACTTTGTGGAAAACAAGTACTTGATCTTCTGGCTGAGAAACTTTTTTAGAATCTCTGATCAATAAAGAAAAATTTATACTTTCATTATTTTAATTTTAATTTTTCATAGTTACAATTAAATGCTAAAATTATAATTTATTATCACAATCATTTTTTTCATTCTTGTTCATCGAAAATATTATCGATATGTAACGTGACATAAATGTGGCGTTATATCAAGGGGAGAAAACATCATAATTGATATTTATGGATGTGGCTAATTTTTTTATCATGTGAATGTGTCAGTGTGAATAGGAATTCAATTTCCGCGATTACAAAAATGGCAAGGTTGTTACAATTGTAAACAATAGAATTTAAAGTTCACGTTACATAAATATATTATTAAGCCATTTTGAGTCCGGAACTAATTTAACCACTTTATTATGATAATAATGACAAGATCACGTGGAATAATTTCCCAATGCTCAATTAAAAAATTAATATCGAAAACTGCTTTTTCCATTTTTTATTTATATATAATATTTTGTTAATATTAAAAGTCATTCTGACTAATAATACTGAAATATTGCCTTAATACATCCGCCAAGGTTTCTGATAATGCATTAATATCTTTCAATATTACATAATAATCAAACGGAAAAGATTCTAAATATTGTACCATTTCTAAAGTCATTATTCCATCAACAGATTTATATTTTACTTGATTCATTGACATTATAGAATCTTTTTCAGACTTGTTATCAACAACTATGAAGACGACCATAATTTGTGCTTCAACTGCTTTTCTAACAAGTACTTTGAGGCTTTCATGATCTTCGCAGACACCATCTGAAATAATTAACTGAAGTTGCCAAAGTTCCTTTTGCTGTGAACGACTACTATAATTGGTTCTAGCATGTTCCAATAATGCAATTGATGTTTCCATCAAATTTCGTACGTAAGTCTTGTTTTGTTCAAATGTAAATTGTTGCAACACTTGAGCTCCTGCTTCACTACTGAATGGCTGGTCGAATGGGTGAAGTATCTGAACTTTCTCTCCAAAGCTAACAATAGAAATATCACCTACTTCAAGTTGTGATAATGCTTTGGATATTAATGCCAATGTTTCATATGCAAGTTGGATTGAATCTGTTTGGCACATGGATTTAGAATCATCGACGGCAATCATTACTTGATATTGTCTTTTACTTGGTCTGGTACGGCGAAGCCAAATTTTATCTTTTCTGAAATCGCTGGCAATATACGGTATTATCTTCTTCATATTAAGTCTTTTTCCTGTACGATAGTCACCTTTTAGTCTTGTAGCAAGTGTTGGTTCAAGAATAAGTCGTAATTGTTCACAGAGTCCATTGGCCAAATCATAAGTTAAATTTTCATATTTTTGCCAAAGTTCTCTACCGTCCTTTCCATCCTTTCCATCTTTTTGATCTTCAGAATCATGAAAATTTTCAATATACATCGGTTCATCCTCTTGACGATCGATAATATTCTCGTCTATTTCTTCAGGCATATGATTAAATTCGTAATTGTGATCGTCTCCATTATCAATATCACAAAAGTTCCTTGATTGTTCATCATTTGCTCCTTCCATTATTTGAAGATCATGTTCCATATCATCATTTTTTGTGTATTCAAATGTTTGCTTATCATTGTCGTAATCTTGAATATTAATTTCTTGCTTTTCTTTGGCTTGTGATATTTCTGGGTCTGTATTATCATGTTCATTTACAATTTCAAGTCGACGTCGCCATTTTTCAAGTGCATCCCCAAGACTACGGCGAGGATTGGCGTCCTTAATTTCATCATTCAAATGCTCACGTTGTTGGACATTGTTATCAGTATCTTTATTATCATTGCCATTTTGGTTATAATTGTCTACAATATTATTATTGACAGTATCTTGTTCCTTCTGGTCGTAAGAATTTTGTTGAATTCCAGGTTGCTCTATCAATTCATCAACATTATTTATCGAAATTTGTTCTTCTTTCTGTTCATTATCAGGACAAGTGTTATTAATTGAATCTGAATCCTTCTGGTCGTAAGAATTTTGTTGACTTCCATGTTGTTCTATCGATTCATCAACATTATCTACCGATATTTGTTCTTCTTTCTGTTCATTATCAGGAAAAGTGTTATTAATTGAATCTGAATCTTCGTTTAACTCGTCAGTCTCCATCAATTCATTAAAAGAATTTAAATCATCTTGGCCTGTTGTAGTATCATCTTGTGATTCCTCTTGTTCAATTTCTTGATCCAAATTATCTAAGTCCATGTTGGAAGGAAGGTCATCATCTCCATCACCCATATCATTATCTTCAATATCATCGATCTCCATATCATCAGGAAGTTCCAAAGTTTCGGCTTGTGGAATATCCACATTGAAATTATCTTGTTGTTCATTATGTTCATCTAATTGTTCTAAGGATTCTTCTGTCTCATTTTTATGGATTTCATCTTGTTCGTCTTGTACGTCTTGTTCACCTTGTTTAGGTGTTTGCGGTTTTTGTGCTTTATCATCTAGATTTTCATTTGAATCATCTTTAGCAACAATCTCAGATTTTGAACTAGACTCCTGCTTATTAGATGATTTTTCAGTATCTTCTTTGTCAGATGAATCATCTCCCCACATTTTTTCATCAACCACGTCAGATTCATTGTCATTAAATTGTCCGATTTGTTCTTCCAGATCTTCACCCTCATCTTCATCTTCATCTTCATTTTGATCTTCTTCATTATTCTTTTCAATGTCCTCCAATTCACCTTCAAAATCATTTTCCATATTAATTCCATTTTCCTTATCATCTTTATCATTTTTGGAATCTGACGGTTTTAACTCTGCCTCATTTTGAGTTCCAAGTATTTGTTCCTCATCTTCAATTTCATTACTCACATCTTTAAAACCTTCGCCTTCACCAATTCCTGTACCCTGAAGATTCTCCAAGTTCTCTCCATTTTCTCCATTCTCTCCATTCTCTTTCATCTCTGGTATGCAAAATCCTTTCGTGAAAATTGTAGTAAATGAATTGCAAAGTACTAACTCGAGTTTACATAATGATTTATGATGAAACACAAATAGGTTCGAATAATACTGAATAATAATATAATATTGTTGTACAAATGGAAATATTCTTTGCAGTAAAAATGTAATAAAATCTCGGCATTCTTTATTATTGAACTTTTCATCGTCCATCAACTTACTAACCAGAGAATGAATTTGATTAAAGCGGTCGATGATTGACTTTACTTGCAGTTTCTTTCCTATGTTTAAAATAAATTCGTGTTCGAGACGTATATTGTTATCACACATAGAGGAAGGGCTGCCACTTTGATCAATTTCGCTTACTTCGGCCGTCCCGTTTTCTTGCAAAGATTTTTTCAGATTCTGAACGACGACCAAAAGATCATCGAGTAAATCGTTAACTTTATGGAGTAATTGTCCTAAAATCATCATTGTGCTATCATCTAAATTTGTTGTGTTATTGTTAATGTTTAAAGATTCGAGATTTCCTATTCTAGAATTAATATAATCGCATATAGGAGAGAAAATATGCGCGAAACTGGGAAGTAGAGCGCAAACATGGTTTAAATTTTCAAGAAATTCATTTAATGTATTTACGCTGTTTTCCAGTGTGTCAATGGCATCAGTTGTTAAGAAAGCTTTCTTGCCAATAGTATATTTTGACATCAATATTGTACGGTCAAATATTCTAATGATTTCTTGTCTTGCTGAAGAAATTGTATTCAACCAATTTTGAATATCCTGAACAATGTTTTCAGTATTTTGCTGTGAAAATTGTTTTTGTATGTCAAATATCGCGGATGAATGTATTAACATACATAATATATCATCGAACATTTCTTTCACTATTTTTAACCGATTCTCATAGAGAGAATTAAGCAACACCACATTGCGAGATTTATTATCAGAAAATGATTTATACGCTGAATATATAGTGTCTAATTGAATTACGACTCCGGAAAGTCCTTCATAATGTTTTTCGAATTCTATAAAATATTGACGTTCTTGTATGAGCAAAGATAAAAGATCTTCAGTAAAACCAAGTGCTTTACATACTTCTTGCGAAGACAAATCTTTGGAATAGTTGGCTGATGCATGACGAAGATTATTAATTCGAGCTATAATTCGAAAATAATAATTATCAGCCTTTTCATATATTGAAAAGAAACCTATTTCTGTCAATAGCTGGCCTTTGAATAAAGTAAGTTCAATTTGTATTCTTGGAAGCTTTAGTAAATATCCACCAAGATTTTGTTGGTTTTCGACCAATTTTTTGTTGGGAAATGTGTGCAATCCAAGTCGTTTCAATTCTTTCAATAGATCAACTAAAGATTTTTTCTTTACCAATTTCATATTTTTGACAAAACTCTTATTTTCTTCATTCATAAAAGGAACTGTTTCATCTTGGAAAGTCTTTATCCTTAATATAATTTCCGACGCAAAATCATCTAAATGTGAATTAAATATCGTATTGTTATTAAAGATATCCTTAAGACAATATGATTTAAATTTTTGCAGAGTTTTATTTATATTTATGAATCGATCGGGCACAGTCAAGATTTGTTTGCTCATTAATTCGAAAGTTCTTTCTGAGAAGTCTATTGGCAATATATCAACAAGCCATTTCTCTGGCAAATGCAATAATTCATTGTTTACGTGATTGTCCCTTACTTTTTCTTTGGATTGTATAGTTAAATGATCTTGATACTCTGTGATAACGAAAGAAATAGGTCTGTTAAGAATATCTTTATATTTTCGAATGCATTTGGATAGATGTCGATGAGTTTTCTGTGCGCTTTGTTTGAGTGCATAAATATTCGTATCTTTCCAACTTGCAATCTTCACAAATTGATAAAGTTCCTTTTCAATAGGTTTATATTGATTAACCAAAGTATTACGCATCTCATCAAGGAATTGGGAATAGTATTTATAGACATTCCAAAGTGCATCAGCTGCATGATTGTAAAGTGACCCTTGTGTATTCATTTTATTAAAATGATATTTAGCGGAAAGATGTAAATAGAAAGTGTGGATTAACTCAAGTCTAGATTCAAATTCTCCAAAATTTGATGATTGAATAAATTGATCAAGAATTTTAACGATCTCAGTTATATGGTTTTCGTATAATAGCGTTATGTCTTTGTTGTTAGAGGACTGATGGATGAATTTATGTATAGGACGAATTATGCATTCATAGAGATGAAACCACCACTTATGAGCAAATTGTTCATAATATTTGTCTTGAGCTTTCAATAGTTTTGGCCAACATTCTAATTCAAGCTTTCTCCATTTAATGATAAGATCTGTTATTTCTTCCTGATTTGATTTTAAAGAAACATCTCTGCTTGCATAAGATTCCCAATCTTCGGATTTTTGTAATAAAATTTCTAATCCAGTGAGTAATTTTGCAATTGGAGAATTTAATTTAAATCCATTAATTCTATCACAAATATTACAGAGCTGGTGCAAAACCGCATGTTCGGGCCACAATTTAAGCAATTCTTTTATACGTCTTTTAAAGTTTGCAACGACGCTGCTTATTTTCCTTGCTTCTATAATGTTTTCGTCTTTATAAAAGTCATATATTCCATCATTTTTAAAGGACGCAACACTGCTACCTTCCAATTCAGCCCCTTGTTCAAGCCAATTTTTTAACATAGAAGTGCAAAGCAATTGAATTGTTGTAAATGTTTCATCAAATTCTTCCGGATATAATTTACCACATAATGATGTCAATTTTCTAGCCATAGTAAATAAAGACCAAAAATTCTGACTCATTAATTGAAAGCGATTATCAATATCTGTTGTGGAAAAAGACTTGAAATCGGTGATTATAGATTTATATAAATTACAAATTTCAAAAATGATTTCTTCGTTTACAATCGAGACATCATTTTCAAATGATTGAGCATTCGCGTCTTCATTCACGTTTTCATTTGCGTCTTCGTTTGTATCAATGTTATAATTAAATTCGCTAAATTCCCTATTAAAGTCAGGAAACATTTGTTTCATTTCATTTTCCTCACGCTGCTCGTCGGTAATAGTAACGTGCGTTTTAGTCTTATTTTTGTACAAACTTTCATCTTCTTGAGCAAGATTCTTTTTATGTTCTTCTGCGGCGGAATAAATATCAGCAATTTCATTAAAAATTATATCAATAGTTTCCAAATCTTCAAAAATTAAGTGACCTCGTTTTGCTATATGGTGATATATACATTTAATGACAGTAATCATATATTTCAAATATATATCCCATTTTTCGTGAGTCGAACATGTAGAAAATATGAGTCCTTTGATTTTTCGAATTGATTCTGATGACGAAATCAATTTGACCTCACGTTTTGGATATCCCATTTTTGTCATTGACATCAGAGATTTAAAAATGTTATAGACAGAAATTTCGAGTGCTGAATTCAAATATTGAGAAGCTGACGACATAAGCCTAATTCCATATTTTAATTGAAAGAGAGCAATGAACATGGGTCGAAGCAAATCAAGATAAAGAGGATAGTTTGAATTCATTCGTTGGATAAATTGAAAAACATTTTCCTGGAATAAAACTTCACGGCGGAGAACTGATGTATCGCAACCTTTTTCCAAATCTTCCATGAGTGCAGTAACATGCTTCTCATCAATTACATTACCACAAATGTAATGAATATGCTTAAAGATATCATTAATTTGTGAATTCTCGGGACGTATAACCAAGTCTGTAGATTCATTTTCGTACAGTAATCTAATATTCTCAAGATTTTTCCTGAGACATGGAATCTTGATATTGTCAGAATTTCCAGTGATGTGCTGTTCAATATTACTTCTAACATGGATTTCTGTTTCTAGATCAGATTGTTTATGTAGTAATTGTTTACATCGAGCGTGAGTTTCTGCAGCCGGATCTAGAGGATAATTAGGAATGTACAAGCTAATAAATCCAAGGGCTAAGAAGGTCCAGGATTTGCCAATCAATATAGAAAATTGCTTATTTTCTGCACATTTGTTATATTTTTCAAGAATTTGTATCAAAAAACAAATTATTGGAATGAATCGTCGTTCCAAAATAGAAAGCAAGAAAACATCTCTAGCTTGCTTCAAATCAATAGATAATGAATTAAGTGATTTGATGGCAATTGCTACTTGATCAATAGCAATTTCTGATGAAAAGCTTATGATACCAGCAATATTATTAAATTTTTTACATATTTCATTCCAAATATCAGAAGGGAATAAATATTCAAACGGATGCAATATCTATTATGAAATTATGAAATATGTTAAAAAGATTCAAAAAAATAAAATATAAAAAAAAAGATTACCTGTCTAAATTGAAGAACTAAACATGAGATATCAGCATTTCGACGACATATTTTCGAAGTCACATCTTTTACTGAAAGTTCTTCGAATTCCTTTAGTCTTGTTAAACACGCATCATAATTGCCAAAAGAAGTTGATTGTAGACTACGACTAAATTTTATAATAATCAGTTAATATTTATTATACTTATTGTAAATCTTAATAAATAAATTCATTACTTACGAGTAATTGAAATAACATCCACTAAAAAAGCTTTGAAAAAGTTTTGTGGGGCCTTCAGTATACTGCGGTAAAGAATCGAAATAAATTTATTTTATCATTTCTTGTATTCTGATTGGATAACTGTTTTTTAAATAGATTTACCTCCGGACAATTCCCTGCATTCACGGAATCCATAGAATCTTCTCCAATATGAATATTTTTAAAATTATTATTCCATAATCTATTATGCCAACCGTATATGACATCTTGAATCATATTATTCAACACAAATTTGGGTTTATTTACGGGAGCTGAAATTAAAGAATCGAATTAATAAGAAATAAATAAAAATCGTGTAAAAGATGTAATTTAGGTTTCTATTAAAATAATAAACCATTTGAGAAAATTCCATAATTCCACAAAATTTGTTGATGTGGGACAAAATCCAAAGGACTTCTTGATGAGTACTTTAAAGACCAATCACGCCATGCTGATAATTGATGAATAATTATGCTCTAAATTCGACACAGAAAAAAAAGGCAATCAATAAAACCAAATAAAAATTGCAAAAAAATAATAAATGTGAGAACATACATTTTTTAAATCAAAATTCAACGCAACAATTGATTGAAGTTGCCTAATAATTTGCATTTCTTTGATGATACTCCAATAGTCCAAGGTGCAATTAATAGGATCAAATATTTCCGGACATGAAAATTCACAAGATTGGACAAACGAAGGTGACTCTAGTTTTTTATTTATATGCTAAGTATACCAAGAGGATCTTCATTAATATTTGAAATAACACAAGAAACCTACAAATCTTTTATAAATAAAATATACCTCGGGAATCTTTTGTATGGAATGTAATAATTCATCCGTTCGATTTTGGGAGTTTTCATCAATAAAATATAATGATGCGATACCGTCAATTACCATATTTTTCAATTCTTCAGCTAATACAAAAAAAAAAAAAATCAGAAAAGACTTATAAAAATTTAACAAAATAGAAATTCTTACATTCTTTATTGTGAATAGAGGGGTCAATTTTCGTTGCTACAGAATTTAATTCTTTTTTGAGCAAAAAAAGTTCCATTTTATTAAAAGTGATGTGATGAAAATTCTTCCAAAGTAAATCCATAAAAATTCCAGTATTCAAGGACGTATCTTTCAATATTACTTCTAGAATATCTACTAAAGGCTGTGCTATTTCACAATATTTTTTAAATAATGTCTTTGTAGCTTCAGACAAAAATTTAACGCCAATATATATTTCTCCTAAGACTAAGACCTTATTTTGCAGAGAATTCCATAAGAAATCTCGTTGATCGAGAAGATTATTTATCATTTCGAAGTCCTAAAAAGAAAACAAAATTTAATAATGTATTTATATGACATCAAGAGAAACAACATATGATAAATATACAAACGTTTAAGTCAGAGAATTTTCGAAAATCAATCAAATCATTTACAAATTGTAACGATTTATGCAACAAAGGATAAAAATTTCCAACGATGTGGTGACTCAATTGACTTTCATATAAAAGTCCTTTATCGTAACTATATGATTGCTGGGCTTGAGTCATCTTCTTGACACTCAATTGAGAGACATTTTTATAGGAATAATTTTCAAAATATTCTAATCGTTTCAACCGTTTTAGAATTGAGAAGGTCTTGATGTCCATCGAATATTCATTCCATAATAAACGAATTTTCTCAATATTATCATTTTTAAATGATGTAATATTAAATCCAGAAAATAATTTATATAAATATGGATTATTTGAAAGATCCAAAGACTAAATTTAAAGCATCGTTACAATTAATGTCTCAGATTAAAAAAAAAATTAGATCGAAATCGAAATCGAGATAAAAATGAAATATGTAAACTAACCTGATCTGATATACACGAGAGATCCAAATTTATCGACTGGACTAATTTAGATCTATGTTCCAATATTTGATGAGCTAATGGATGTTTTAGTAGACTACTCAAAAGAAAATGTGTATATTCTATAGAAATTTGTTCCCCATCCATCATAAAATACGATTGTAATACGGAAGAAACAAAATCAAGCCAACGTTGCCTAATAATGCAATCTTCCGGAGACATCATTTCAACGAAATAATCAATAGCTATGAGTAATTTTCTCGATATATTAGTTGCTGACTCGGCTTTGGCAAAACTATTTTTATGCAATAGGTACAAAAGGTAGGATCCTTGCGTGCTGATCATAGCCAAAACTGATTCGTCCCTGAACATGTCTCCTCCGGCGAAAAAAGGAAAATCAAGTAAATATGAATCTGCTGGAAACCCGGAAAATTTAGTATCTAGACTTAGATTTTCTTCAGATTCAAAGCTATGTCTGAAAATTTTCTGCATTGCTGACAAAAACGACTCCCCACGTTGAATTCTTTCGTTTAAGCATCTAATAAACATGATGTATTCTCTAAGGTTTGGATGATTTTTGTTTTTTTTCAGGGAATTCTTATAAATTTTTGCAAAATCTTCAAAAAGTTCATGTAAGCGCGGAAACAAAAGTCCAAATCCATTGGCAAGTTTTATCAAATCTTGAACGTTAGATGAGCTGTAATTCTCTAAAAGTGCTATTTCTACACCACGGTTTCTCATTGCGCGAGATAATTCGCCATTTTTTGGATCGACGGTCATAAAAAGTCTAAAATTTTTGTGTGGATATACTATTTTTGGTTTACCATCAATCAATCCTTGTTCATTTACCATCAAAAAACCATTTGGTTCAAGCAAAGGGTTAAGTCTATCTAAAATAGAAGGATTACAAAGGTTTGCATTATCAATTAGAATCCAGTACCCTTTTTGCAAAGCATTGATTAACACCCCATCAACCCATTCAAAACGTCCCGCGGTAGTCTCGTTTTCTATATATCTAAATTCTGTAATTTTTTTTGATAATGATTGCAAGGAATCTTTCAATGGTAATTTAAAATGACAAATTGTTTGATCAATCATTTTTAATAATTGATTAGTTAAGTCAAAATCAATAACTGATGAATTAGAACAATTATTGAATTTATGATGATTTCTTAATGTGAAAATTAAATGATTTAATTGCGTAATGATTTGTAAGACATCGTCTTTTTCAAAGGAATTATTATGTTCAATTTGAAAATTTGTTAAAAGTAACTTTGATACATCATTAGTTAAATCTAGCAATTCGTTTATTATAAATTGACGATGCCTTGATAAATCAACCTGTTCAAATCCTCCTAACAATTCTATAGTATCTATGGAACTATTCATTGAGAATTCTTCTAATTTATGTCCTGTAAGGTCTGCCAATAATCTCACTAAACTTGTCTTCCCAGTTGACTCGGTCCCTGTTAATATAACCATCCAATTTAGTTCCACGCATTTCATTAAAGATTGTAAGGGGAAAAGATGAGATTGCAGTATATGTAACGATTTTATTGAGGTTTGGCACGAACCAGAATTATGACGACCTAGAATTGAATAACCAACTTGCAAATAATTAGGAGTTACGTAATATGATGGATTATTTGGGTAACTGAAATTTTGATTGAATATCTCGTTGAAAGTGGAAATTATACGTTCTCTATCATGACTCGTTCTCATTCTGAGAAGATAGACGAGATCCAAGTACTGATCAGGTGAAGAACAGATACCGCGTTCAAAATCTTTATTAAGAAGTTCAAGCCAACGAAATACATCACGCAAATTAAATTCCCATGGAGCTCCATTTCGACCATAAAGACAATTTATCATGATATCTTCGTATATTCTAGAATTAAATTCAAGCATTTTTTCCAAAATTTCCTCGCTTATTTGAGAAAAGGTGTTCTTACAAATGTATAACATATCCATCTTTGTAAGTTGCTCAATATAGACTTGTGTGAAACGGTTTATGAATGATTTAGGCAAACCTTTCCTTCCACCTCCTTGGTGAGCAGGGTTCTGGGCACCGAATACACGAAATCCTGGCGCACAATAAAATTCTTTATCCAACTCAGGAATATATACAGCGCCACGATGATCCAAACAAGAGTTGAGTCCCTCCAATACTGACTGTGAAGCAAGATTAAGTTCATCTAAGAGCACCCACTCTCCATTTTGCATAGCTTTCAAAAAAGGTGCGTCTCGCCAGGCAAATTCTCCACTAAGGCCTCCCTCCACGGGAAGATCCGAGCCAAACAAATCCATCAAATCTGTTTGATCAGATAAATTTATTCGTACAAGCTTATTACCTGATGCATTTGCTAATGCAGTAATCAAGCTGGTCTTACCAACACCAGGGCTACCCTCTAATAAAATAGATTTTCGAACTTGCATTGCACGAAGAATTCGGAAACAATTCTCTGCAGTTATTGGTGTTTGAAGGTTGAAAGAAATATCTTGTACTCCAAGCGGTCCTCTGAGTATAAAGAAAGGATGAATACCGAAATGTGTTTCGATGGAACGAACATTAGGAAGATTGACATCATCTTCAATCATGTCTCCTTCCTCAATTAATTCTTTCAGCTTATTTAAGCATTTTATCCTAATGTCTTCTAGTGATTGTCTTGTCACAAAAGCCAGTGACGTTGCACTCGATCCAAACCCGTCTAAGAACATAAGGCTTCCACCATGTATAAATGCTTCTTTTGCTCCAAGTTGATCAACGGTATCATTCATAAATTGAACCCATGATAAAATGTCACGGATGCTTATGATCATGTGTTGAATTCTAAACATATGGGTAAACCAATCAATGAAATCTAGCATTTTACGACCGTAACCTTTTAATGTAAAATTGATCAAATTTGCATCAATAATTTGTAATAAATCATCATGATCAGTTACAGTAGGAACCCATATTTCCGTGAACCGATTTCTTAACGCAGGAGATAATTCTTTTTTTCCATAATCTCCACCAGGATTCATAGTAGCCAAAAATTGAAATCCTTCTTTGGCAACCAACTCATTAATATGTTCACCTCCCTTTTCCGGTAATACCAAAATTCGATGAGGTTCTAGTACACTATTAAGACGTTCGATCACAGAGTCATCAGCCAAGGATATTTCATCAAGTAAAAAGAGTGAACCATTTTTCATGGCCTGAATTAGCGGTCCATCATGCCATTCAAACAGAGTGCTTACATGTTTACAGCGTAATGATAATGAAATTAATTCATTGTTTTCAGTCAGATTTGAAGATAAGATTGCTTTAGATTTGTTGAAGAAATGATTAAAAAGTTCAATCAATCTATATAAATCTAATTCTTCCAAGTTTTGGCAATTTGATAAATCATATTTTCCTAAATATCTTATTAAATCACGCTTGAGTTCTGCACTTAAAGACCCTCTATTCCTTAATGGTCGTTGTCCACCAAGTAAATCTGCTGTCTCGGTACTGTGATGACAATTTACAATTATCAATTCCTTTTCTTTAGATTTTGCTAATATTTGACATACTGTTGTTTTGCCACTTCCAGTATCGCCAACTAATAAAACAGGCTCATTAAACCTTAGACATTGAACAACAAGAGTAAATAATCGCTTCATAGCTTTCGTCCATACAATATCATTTTGTGGGCATTTTTGAAATTCTACAAGTCGAGAACAATCATACATTTTATTTTCATCGATAGTAACTTTCATCACATTTTCCAAAACTTGTTTGACAATCAATTTTTCATCTTGTTTTCTAACTCTTTCGGCAAGAATCATATAGCCATGTTCTGCTAACTCTTGATATCCAATAGCACCTCTTTCAGCCCAACGGAACAAATCTCTTAAAGTGATAAATCCATGTTTTTGCTCAAATACACGAGTACCTTGACGTCTTTCCATCAATTGTTTATATACTTGAATTAATCGTTTACAATAAGAGGGAGCGATCTTACATCTTTCTGACAAAATGGTTTCTAATTCATTACCAGGGATATCATTAAAATGCAACTCTATAAATCTATTGCGAAATGCACGTGAAAGAACTTTACGTCCAGCATACAATCCAGGTGGATTCTGAGTTGCAAAAAGCATAAAATCTGGGTGAGGCTTTATAACTTCTTGAGTTTCTGGGATCAACAGTTCTCTGTTATCATCCAAAAGTCTATTTAAAGCCTCCAATACATCGGTAGGTGCCAAATTTAATTCATCTAAAACAAGCCAATACCCATTTCTTAAAGATTTAACAAGTATTCCTTCTTGGAATTCCAGTTTTCCTTCAGGATTTGATACATAAGAACCCAAATACTCCTGAAGATCCGTATGTTCATGATTATTGATCCTTACGAAACGATGTCCCGTAAATTGGGCTAAATAATGAATTATACTAGTTTTTCCAGCAGAAGTAGGACCTTGAAGTAAAACTGGAAATTTATTGCTCACGGCAACTCTTGAAAGATTTTCTAAATTTTTCTTAACAGAAGGTGTTATTATATAATTAGAAATTTCTTTAGATGAATATTCACCCATTTTAAGCCAAAATTGTCCAAATTGAATATGTTTATCTGAAGGTTTTCTTGGAATTTGTTTCAAAAATGATTTTGGATTTTTTATAGTACTCAACAAATGTTTTTGTAATAAATCTTGCATTATTAATTCGCCTTCTTTGTTCAATTGTGTCATAAAAGTCATACAAAAGCCTTCATACATTGAACGCCTAAGCCCATAAGTTGGCGAGATCTGAGAGACAAAACATAATGCACGCGTCAAAGTTCTCATGCTAAAATGTGGCTTTTGATTAGAACCATCAACAAGCTTATGTTGCCTCACCAAATCTTTTACTGATAAGTAAAATTCAACAATATCAGAACGGGCTCGATCATCTCCGTGAACGTAACCAGCCAAATATTGTTTCGTAATAGCTAATAAATGATCCCTATTATTGTCTGAAGGATGTACGTAAAATTCAGAAAATCGGCTTCGTAATCCGGGAGGTAAATCACGCTTACCCACATCAGTGGCTGGATTCATACATGCAAAGATACGAAAATTTGGATGACGTTTAACAGGTTTAGAATCACCTTTTTCAGTTAACAATAATGAACCTTCAGAATCTTGAAGCAAACTACTTAAACATTCTAATGTTTCTGTAGATGCCAAATTGATCTCATCTAAAAGGATCCATTCTCCTTTGGTAACTGCCTTAACTAAAATTCCTTCAACAAAAGTAAAAACAAATTTATTCCGTACTTGTTCTTGTTGGATTTCAAATTCTTTGACAGACTTTTCAAATAATTTCCAACGATTACGTAATTCTGGGTTAGCAGACTTTCGAGCAGTATTCTGCTGATTGTCTACCTCTTTATCTTCTTCATTATTAATAAAATCTCTTTCTAAATGTTGAATTTGTTCTGGATTAAACTTTTGCTCTGCTAAATTAATAGCTTGTTTTAAAAGTGTAATGAATTTATTATATTTTTTTTCAGTATACATTTTATATACAGATTTCAAGAAATGGGTATTACGACGCATTGAAAAGGTTTTTTCAAACAGTTTATCGAAATCTTCTTTCAGGGGGGCTGCTAAGAATTTAGCATCAACAGGTTTAAATCCACCCAATAAATCACTACTATCACTATGTTGGGATAAATTCACAACTACGAGATTCTGATTCAAGATATCCGCCAAATGTTGAACCATTGATGTTTTACCTGTACCGGTTTCTCCGACTAACAAAACTGGCTCACAAAGTTGAACACAAACAGAAATTTGCTCTAAAAGTCTTAGTGCGTGACCAGTTTTAGCGAAAGGATTTTTTCGCATACCAATCACGTCACTCTTAATATCTTTCTTTTTCTTCATTAGAGACAGTTGGGCTCTACCTATTGTGATAGAATTATCGGAAATTCTTATGTTGGGTGTAAATGAATTTATTTTATGTTCAACCCATTGATTGGTTATTCCTATAGCTTCCCCGAGAAGTTTCAAGACATGTATCCAAACAGAATAACATGGTAACATTGCACAAAAACAATCTGCCGCCTCATTAAAAATTTCTTCTCTTACTTTGCTCAAAAGTCCATTATTATTATTATTATTATTATTATTATTTATTATTGAATGATTTAAACTAAGGGCAACATCTATCCTCTTACACCATTTCATTAAATCTCGCGGTGAAATATATCTAGCGACATTTAATGAAAATAGTGTTGAATCTTGATAGATAGATATTAAAGTTTTATAAACATTCATTAATTCAGACACTAGCTCACATAAACGAGGAAATCTTTTTTCGATTACATGAGCTAATTCATCTGAACTTAGTGGATGGATTTTGATTTTATTCCATAAAGTACTACTAAAATTTTTATCTTTTGTGTGATTATTTTCTCTCTCAGGCAACAATCTTTTTGTTGCAAATAATTGAAACCCTTGCTTTGCTTTGATTCTTTCACCTCTACTAGGGATAAAAAGATGATTAGTTTCAAGCAAAGGTAACAAAATTGATATAACATCCGGTGGTGCAAGATCAATGTCCTCGATTAAAACCCAACGACCTTCTCGCACAGCATTTGTCAAAACACCAGGTTGCCAATTAAACAAAGCCGGTGTAGATGTAGACACGTAAGTACCTAAAAGTACTTTTGAATCAGTTTGATCTCCAACGTGAATTTTCAGAAAATCTGAAAATTTTCAAACAATATTAATTAAATTAAAAATGAATCTTATATAGGAATTTCAGAAACTCTGGGTATTACGCAACCAACCTTCATAGTGACCTGTTGCTATTGCAATTTCTTCGACCAACGTCGTTTTTCCAGAACCAGTAACACCTTCAAGCAACACTGGTGATCGCATGGAAATAGCCAAACATATTGCATTCAAATTTTTTTGAGTTGTGTCTGTTATTATGAGACGTTGCTTGTTCTTATAATGATCCAAATTGATTGATTGTATAGATATTGGCAACAAAACTCCGGAAATATTAACAGTTGAATCAGATAAATCTGACTCTATCAGTTCCGAAGAAAAGCATTCAAAATTGTTTTGGGTTAAATGAAGTTTTTGTTGAGCATACGATGCTTGTTCTAATAAACTAAAACAAAAAAAAAATAAATAAATAAATAAATATAAATATTTATATATATGAATTAATTTTACAAATATAATTAAATCCATAATGAATATTTACGTAAACATCCTAATATCATAGTTTTTTCCATCTTCCCATTCAATTAAGATTTTTTCTTCTTTTGGACCAACCCATATTAAATATGAATTTTCCTTATGAAAATCACTCATGTTAAAAACAATACTTAAACAACTAACTGTAAGGTATCGAATAGATTTATCGGGATGTACTAACAATTGAAAAAGTGATGACCAATTCCATAGATTTGAAAATGTATCTCTAGAAAATCTTAGAAACCGATAGGCTATTATCAAAAGACATTTTAAATCTTTTCTTTTATTTTCATCGGCGATATTACTTTGATTGAATGAATCAAATCTTGAAAGAAGAGATGGTGATTGTGAAAAGAAAGTGACCGCTATACTATGTTTTAAAAAAAAGATTAATAAGGTTTAATATATAGTAATTGACGATTAATTAACATAGATAAGTCTGAAAATATTACTCTATTAATTGTGGTGATGTCGGAAGTAATTTGCTAATTGCAAGGGCAACTCTTTCCATTTGAAAGGTTGCACTATCTGCACTTTCATAAATATTTGAATGTAACCAACGAGAAACAAGATCAATTAAAATAGGGCGAAATATTTCTGAGATTGAAAGAGTCAACGATGGATGTAAAAGTAATTTGGATATGCAATTTAACATGTCTTGCGTGACCTTTTTCTGCAAAAGTATATTCAAATCATTCTCGTCGAGATATAGATCTTCTTGGCCTCGCAATAATTCTATAAGTTTTTCCACACTCTTAAACATGGTATTGAAATTATGGCCAATATTTTTTTGTCGAAATTTTTGATTTCGATCTTCATCTGATCAAAAAAAAATTCGAAATTTTTTTATAAGGATAATCTATGTTTCACATGACTCTATCTTAATGCATGGGATAGGAATAGGGTTTGTCAAGGGGTAGACCCAACATTTATCACGTGAAAAAGTTCTGATCACCTGTCAAATTATGGTCCAATAACATCAATAACATTGGGGTCTGGAACAAAAAATATACAATCCAAAATTATGACCTTTAAGTAAAAACGTAATACTTCATCGCTGATCCGTCTAATATCAGCACCATTTATCGATCATTTTATAAAAAATTTTGGGGTAAATTTATATATATTTATTATAACTTTGCATCTGACACGCATATAGATATAATATTTTTAATAACATTCAAGAAAACACTATTAACTAAAACAGTTATTCTTAACACTTAATGTATTATTTACCAACGTACATCTTTTTTCAACGGAATGGTTATTACTTTGAAGGTTTAGCCCTGACTTTAGGGAAGACAAGTACTTTGTATTCAAAGAAAAATTCCTTTTCTTTTATATTTGCGATTTTTACATTTGATCGGCGATCAATGTGTCAAATGATCGGTAAATAAACCATGATATACAAGATATAATTAACTCGCCGAAATACAAATATAAAAAATCCGAATAACTGCATAGCAATCAGAAAACACGATATATTTGCAAGCGAACGTGTTTAAAAAATCAAAATGTAATAGATATTATTTATTATTTATTATTTTTAAATAAACTAAATTTAACATAATAAGTGAATTTATTATTGTTTTACAGTTATAATAACAAATAAGTTTTTTTTCAGAACATTATAGCAGCTCTTTTTTATGACACTCTCCTTGATCGTTCTTGCTTTTCACCAACCTACAACCTTCCGCATTTCTATTTAAATCAATACCACCAAGAAGTATAAAAAAGATTGAAATACTTCATCGCGGTCTATATTTTTTATATAAAACAGATATAGGACGGTAGAACTAAAAGGAAGTTATTTTGTCTTCATAACACAAAAGACAAAGACGGATTACTTTTGGCCTTAACATTAGAAAACAATAAGTTAAACAGCAAATTACTTATAATTCTTTGTGTAATTTTTATTTTGTAAAAGTTCAAATATAATAAAGATCGGTTGATAAAAAAATACTCGAGTACATCTGAAGTTCCTTTATGTGAAGTTGCCCAACTTTATAATATAGTTAACCATATCTGATATATGCATAATGAGTGACAGAAAATATTATCATACAAAGAAGTTCAATTTCATCCGTCGTTAGATCAATTATGATCTAAAAATCGTCAAAGTTGCCAGAAGAAAATATCATAATAGAAAAAAAAGTAAGTCTAAAAACTTTGTTGACTCAATTTTACTAATTTTAACTCGCATCAAACAAGCAATGCCTTGTCTTTAAAGGGTTAATGGATTTCCAATTTTATTCAATTTATTCAAATTATTCAAATTTTTTTATTCTCAGGAACTATAATATTGATCTTTTTATTATTCATCCTAAATACACATTTTAAAATGAATTCTTACAATAAATTTTCTCTTTATCAAAAAACTAATTGAAAATGAATTTTAAATTATCATTTATAAATATTTTTAAATTCAATCATATATTTTTCATCAATTCATTTTATCTACCTCTTGCTATTTGAATGATGGCATTTTGGACATTTTTCATTATAAATATAATTTTTTATGTGCTTATAACGTTTTTTACAATGTGTAAAAGATAGAAATTTATTGCTTTTTAAAAAAAATTTGTAACTGAATTTTAATCTTAAACTATCGGTAATAAATGAATGGTTCCAACATTGTTAATATTTAAATTATTAAATAAGTTATATATATTTTTATGTTTTTTATACTTTAATTAACGTAACTATTAAAAATAAAGTAAATAAAATAAAATAATATAAAATTAAAGTAAAAAAAAATAAAAATAAAATAAAAAGTCGAAGAAATCAAATAAACCCTAAAAAGGTAATCGTTCAAAGTAATTATGATCTTACTAAATAAATAAAAATCCGACTAATATATATACGCAATAATAATTTTTATAGATTCTAAAAAAGGGAAACAAATTATACATTTATCTAGATTACTCAATAAATATGTAAGAACAACAATAATAATAATAAAAAATGGTTTTTTTTTTGTTTTTGTAAACAAACAATCAATATAACGGGTGCTGAAAAAACTTTACAAGATTTGCAAGAATTACTCAAACTTTTGCAAGAAAAAAAAAAAAGAAGAAATCATCAAAATTTGCATGCAAGAACTGAATGACAATGACAGACGGCGCAAGGTTTGTTGACAATTCCGAATTTATGTACATCAAAGTTAATTTAATTGACTTGCTATAAATTTTTTTTTTTTTTAATTTATTTCTAAATTGACTAAATTAAATTAACTAAATTCTTCAAAATATACATTAGTATTTATTTTCTTTGTTGCAGATGATGTTTACAAAATTTGTTATTCTTGATCATGTGAAAACCGCAGCAATTGATCAAATGTTATATTGTAATCCTCAAATAAATTTTAATAAATTTGTCAAATAAAAAAAAAAGAAAAACTTCATTCATCTATTTAAAAGAAAAAAAAAATACATGCATAAATGCACAGATATACAATTAAGTATCTAAAAGGTAACAGATAATGGATTTCAACTATAGATATACAAACTACACTTACATACTTTACATATGGGATGAAAAACAAGTAATTTTTTTAGCAAGTATGAATAGGGTAATCTTCCTTACCATACTTGCCAAAAAAGTTGATTGTTTTTTTTTCTCACTCGACTGATGATCCCTTTTATATTAATAATAGAAATTATCACTTAAGATGAATAAAATAGTTACCTGATAGATACATAAATACTACACCTAACCTAACGATTTCAACTTGTGTAACTTTCTGAAAACTGAAGAATGGGATTTTTTTTTTATCAGATGAATTAGGAAATAAAAAAATTCAAGCAGATTTCTAGTCAACTCTTAAATTCAAGAAAAGGGCTTGGCAAAAAAAAATATTGAAGAATACATACAAACTGATCAGCAAGTATTTCTCTATTAAAAAAAGGAATCAAAGAATAGAATAAGTAATCCTGTATAATAACATGTTCATTTAAGACAATAAAAATGATCGATTTTAACAAATGGGACAATGGGCGTAATAAAATATCAGACAATGATTTTTTTTTTTTTTTTCATTTACTTTTTTTATAATGAGTTTGTTTATTTATATTTACTGTATATATATATATGTATGAGAGTGAAAATATATATGTGATGTATATGAGAAAGTGCGTTGAGTGCATTAATGGTTATTATTATAATTATTATAATTATTATCATAATTATTTTATTGTGTGTGAATGATTTGATTATGAATTGTGATGAATTGTTGATGATGATGATGTGAATAATATATATGATGAAAAATATATAAATGCATGAAAAAGAAGAAAAGAAAAGAAAATATATATATAATGCAAAAGAAAAAAGATTAAAAAAAAAACAAAGTATTATTCAACTATTTGTTTGCGTCAACGCATTTAAAAAAAAAAAAATAAACACAAAAAAAAAATTCGATAAGAAAAAAAATATACAAAGAAATAGAAAGAAATAGAAAATGTAGCATTCAATGTAATTTTTATATGTATATATATAATTTTTTTTGCTAATTATTTATAAAGAAAGAAGAAAAAAAAAAAAGAAAATATTTTGAAAATGTTGCAAAAGAAAAAAATGAAAAAGAAGAGAACCAAAATTTTCAAAATTGAAAAAAAATGGACAATATATACATATATACGTATATATATATATAAATGTTAAGATTTACATTTAATAAAAATAAAAAAGAAAAGAGGAATACTAACTACGTACGACAATATTTACTATTGATCTATTGATCCAAAATATCCTAAAATTAATTATTATCTTACAATTGCACATGAACAGGTCTGGAAAAACCATCATGTCTTCCTATGGGCGGTAAAACTTGTGATGGTGATGTGTTATTATTATTATTATTATTATTATTGTTATTGTTGTTGTTGTTGCTGTTATTGTTATTATTATTATTGTTATTGTTAAGAGGTGTACCGTTTAAATTAATTAAAGGAGGAGGGTGATAGGATTGTGATGTATTAGGTGCTCCAATTGGTGATGGTAAAAATTGAGGTGAATTTTGTGTCATCAAATTATTATTACCAACGTAATTGGTAGATGTGATACCTTTACGACATCTTTCAATAACTTCAATTGAAGCTTTGAGAATTTCAGCATGAACATATATATTCGATTGACAAGAGTCCAGAATCTACCAAAAAGAAAAAAAAAATAATAATATTTATTTAATAAAAATGAAAATAATAGAAATAATAAAAATAATAGTAATAGAAATAATAAATAATAATTTTTATAAAAACTCACTTTCCACTGAACTTCTGCCAATCTATTAAAAGCATCTTGCATTCTTTTTTGTTCCATATTATTACTAATTCCAAATACATCATTAACATGTGGAAGTTGTTGATGTTGTTGGTGATGATGATGTTGTTGTTGTTGAGGTGAAGAAGACGACGAAGATGAAGATGATGGTGGTGGTTGTTGTTGTTGTTGTTGTTCTTTATCATTATCCGTTTTCATCAAAAATATTAAATCGGGACTTAACAATTGAACGTAACTATTTTTACACCAATTCAAATCTAATCCTGCAGCAGTGGAAGCAGCAATTGCAGAATAAACATAACGATCCACGATAAGTGTGGTACCATTAAGTAAATGATCTTTCATTATTGGCATTAATTCCCACCAATGAGCGGAAACAAGTAAATGAAGAGTTTTAGGATGAGGTTGATGACCATTTGTTTGATACGCTTTAAGTGCTATTCCTGATGGAGTTGAAACATCCGGAAATTTCCATAAAGCCGCTTTAAATCCTTCATTCTTTAAAATTTCAAATAATTTGGTAGATTGTAATGATGTTGTACCATCTTCACATCCTTCAAGAACAATTAATGCACCACGATTTATAACAGTAGATGTAGTAGGAGGTGAAGTAGGTAAACCCATCCCTGATGATGATGATGAAGGTGGAGGTGGTGGTGGTGATACTAATGCGTGAGGTGGTGGCAGGCGTGTATTAGAAACAACAGAATTGGGTGAACGAAGAGATATCAAATGTGATGGTGGTGAAGAATATTTGGCTTTTATTACTTCAGCGGGTGAAGGTTTTTTATTACCAGATTTACGATCTAAAAAAATATAATTATGTAATTTTAATTAATTAATTATTTATATATTAAAAATAATATAAATAATAATAAATAATAATGGATAATAAATTAATTACCTAGTTTATTTAATTCCTTTGATCCACGTTCAATAATAATAATTTTTCCATCTATTTCACGTGAAGGATCTAATGAAGAAATATCTCTATCCATACTTTGTTTCCTGGGTGATGGTGGTGGTGGTGGTTGTTGTTGAAATGATTTAGAAAGATCCATTATAAAACTATTCTGTTTCATGTGATGTTGATGATGATGGTGATGATTGTGATTAAGATTACGGCGAGATAATAATGATGATGATGAACCATCGGATAATTCAAAATTGATAATATCAGATTTGATCGTAGAAGAACCATTATTATTATGGTTATTATGATTATTTGTTGTTGAAGAAGGAGGAGCACCTGGACCTTTTAATGGTTTTTTAAAAGTAGGACCTACAACCCTTCTTCTTGGTTGATATTTATAATCAGGCCACGCTTTCATATGTTTCTCTTTCGCTTCTTCAGCTTTCCTTTTCCATTCTTCTCTTTCTTGATCAGATAATTTTTTCCAATGATCAGCGATTATACGAGAAATTTCTGAATTATTAATACCTGGATTCTGATTAAGGATAAGTGGATGATGATGTTGTCTATAAAGTATAAATGAATTTGGTGGTCGAGGAATATAAGGTTTTTTACGATTTTGTTTAGTACCGGAAAATGACATATTATTATTATTATTATTATTATTATTATTATTATTATTATTATTACTAATATTATTAAAATTATTAATAGTAGTAGGTGAATTTGCATTCGAAAAATCATCAGAAATTTGATCATCCAAAATCATTTCATCAAAAGTTATCGGTGATGGAGAATTTCCCCCTTTATGAGTATTATGAGTACCGATTTCATCAATCATCATCATGGTATTTATGGTTGTGGTCATAGTTGTTCCTAATGAATAAGTAGAAGAAGAAGAAACATTCTTATGAATACCGCTACGTCTTTGTCTTTTAGAAGATTCTAATTCACGACGATTATTATTATTATTGCTATTATTATTATTATTATTATTTCCACCACCACCTCCTTCATAATCATGATCGTGCCCACCTTTCCTTTTCTTTTTTGAGTTGGCATTGATAAAATCGGAATTATTTGTATTATGAAATTCTATGTTAATGAATCGAGTTTCATTCATAACATTATTATTATTATTATTATTACTAATATTATTATTATTATTATTACTAATATTATTATTAATAATATTATTGTTGTTATTTCTGGGAGTTTCTGGAACAGGTGAAATTGATCTACTACTTGTTCGTGATGTTGGTGAATTTGCGATAGTAGTTGAAGAGGAATTATTATTATTCTGATTTTCTTCGTCGTGATTAATTAAATTTGAAATACTAGCAGCTGAACGTGCATTATCAGGAGAAAGAAGAGAGATGAGAAGAGAAGAAGGGGGAGGAGGAGAAGGTGAAGTTGTTACTGAATTATATCTTTCATGTCTTTTTCTTGGTGATTGTTGTTGTTGTTGTTCTTGTTCTCTTTGTTGAGGTGATTGTGGATGTACCCGTTGTTGTTGTTGTTGTTGTAACGTCGGTGAAGGTAATAATTCATCAGTTTCGTCTTCCTCTTCTTCATCACTTTCATTATTAGAAGATTGAGTTGTTAATAATGAAGGTAATGGATCAAGTCTTAGAGATTCTAAAGGAGCTGCCAAATCAGTTGGAGTTGTGGGTGAAGATGGAGGTGACGAAGATTTATTATTTTTACTATTGTTATTATTGTTATCATTATTTTTATTGTTATTGTTATTATCGTCAAAATTATTCTTGTTGTTATCATTTTCGTTTTCGTTTTCATCATTCAGACCATTGATGTTGGTAGCGGTGGTAGAAGAAGAAGGTGGAGGTGTCATTGGCGTTGGTGATGCAGGCGACGACTTGTTTGACATGTTTTATCTATCAAAATAAATTCCTATAAAATAAAGTAAAATTGTCAAAAAAAATAATGTAAATATAATGTTGATTGTTAGAAAAAAAAATAAATAAATAAAATAAATAAATACCCAAAGTTATGAATACCGTATTTTGGAAGAGAGGAAGAGAACAAACACAAAAAATTTGAGAGAGAGAGATAAAAATAAAAATTTTTAAAGGTTAGTAAATTGCTTTTAAATGAATAAAAATTACGAAAAAATAAATAAATAAAATAAATGGGAACAGAAGAACTTATAGAATAGAATAGAAAATAAACAATCAACTATTAAAAAATTAGATTTCGACATATTCGATAATTCTCTTTCAATTTAATAACAATTTCATTCATTCTATTCATGATCAATTATTCACTTATTTATCCATTCATTCATTCAATCAATCAATCCATTAATTTAATAAGTCATTATTATTATTATCATAAGGAAGGAGAGAGAATAGAAAATAAACAACAAGAGTGTAATAATAATAATAATAATAATAATAATAATAATAATAATAATAATAATAATAATAATAATAATAATAATAATAAT